TAGTAGCAAGTAATTTTGGGAGCTAGGCCTGCACTTAGAGTTCAGTCTATTTAGGTGTTTGAATAAAAAGTGTTTAGGTGTTACTAAATATGTGCTGGATGCAGTACTATATGCACAATTATGTCCTGCCCATTTGTAATTATAATTACCATAAGTGGGTGGGACAAAATGGCCACATTTGGATCACTGCTGTGCATCCTGGGGATACATGGCCTGTCCTCCTTCCACATGAGATTTGGAGAGTGTCGTACATGATGAGCGTGTGGGAACAGGCCCAAGTGCTACAGGGTTCTGGTGGGGTGGAATAGGGAGTGAGACAGGGTGCTGTCAAGGTGAATGATCATAGGGTCACTGCCCCGTCATAACTTTGAATGTAGTTTTTGTAGGAGGGGTCTCTTGTAACTTCAAATGTTCATTAAATGGCCTGTCATATCTTGATAACTATCTGTATCTGAGCTCATGATGCTGATATTAATTGCTGTTGTCATGTTCTACTTACTGACTCCTATACCAGGCAGTTGTGTTACTGTGATTTCATTCCATGCTTTTAACAAGCAACCAGGACTATGTCCCATGATATTGCTAGCATATTTGATGGGGAAATGTAAATAGTTTTTGATTGTGATTGACAAGGTGTTCTTGATGAAAGATACTGGACAAAAATACAGACAGCTAAAAGCTTTGTTATTACTTAAACCCAAAAATTTAAATGTTGATCGATTTTTTTCAAAATGTTAAATGTTTGAAAATCTAAAGATATTTGCTCTTCTGTCATATTCAGTGTTCAAAGATCAGAATTGGTATAATATTTTTTAATTTCAGTTTGCAAAGCTGGAGTGGCTTTTGACATTGCTGTATTCGAACAAAGTAGCTTTATTTACCTTGATGGCAGAGTGCAGAAATTTCAAGCGTGCTTACTATAAACGATCATACTGTTTACTAAAGCACCGAGCTCTATTTTACAATGGGAGGGACATATTTAAAAAGATCTGTAGCCTTTTTTATGGAAATATACTATAACACGCTCATTTGCTGTGCAGCTGCTTTTCCTTTGGAACTGAAACATCTGGTTTATATTAGGCTATTCATAGACAGGAGCGAATGTTGTTGACCAGCTGTGATTTGTCAGTGTTTGGTAATTTTCTAGTTACTGGTTGTTCTTTTGTTATTCATTTTCAAATGGCAATAAACACTTTTCTATTTTTAACTTTGGCCCTATTTTTGGCTTCCACTCTAGGTATTAAACGGTTCTTTTTCCTTGGAGTTGGTCAGTGAAAAGTACTGGAAAGTGAATAAGCCGATGGAGCTCTACTATGCACCAACGAAGGAACACAAATAAGCCTTATAAAAAGGCTTTGAGTTGGAACAATAATTGCTTTTATATCTTTGCTTTAAGTTGAAGTACCATCCTCTGCATCATGGACAACTGCACATAGACTTGGATTCCCCAATGAGTATCTTTAGACAGTATTTTGTGTGATATTTAACTTATATTTTTCTTTCTGAAGAACTGAATGATCAGAACATTCCATTGTTACTGTCGTATGTGTTCTTTTCATTTTGGTGGCTCTTGGTTCATGTGCGTGAAGTTAGTGGCAGCAAAATTTCTTCGGAACATGGAATGTTGGAAGGCTTTAGATGAGCAGACTCACTAGCACCTTTATGTACATTGACGAACAAAGATGCGATAATTCTGTTAGTTATATATGATTAAGAATAGGTCTGCTAATAAATAATTCAGATGCTAAAGAAATAACGGGCTGGAAGATAGATTGTTCACAGCGGTATCTGAATTCTTATGCAATGCCCTGTAATGTCATTCTGCTTTGTAAATAAAAAGCCAGCCCATATACAACATTGTCTTCATTCCCAGTGTCCATGGGAATGCAAGCTACTCCTTTTCCTGTTTTCATCATATTAAAGGTAAATTATTCTTTCCAACTTCACATTATAGTTAAGAGAGCACTAACTCTAATACTGTTGCATTGCTTAATTGCAGTTTAAAGAGTGACATAGAACTAGCTCTGGGAAAAGACTTTACAGAATGAGCATACATTTCTGAGACAAGTTCCAAATTTTATTAATCACAGTTCCTCATGATGCTACAATCATATTAACATTCCCAGAAAAAAGGGGGAAAATTTACTGATTTGTACTGATGCTACTTAAAAATAGTAATCAATGATGCAAATGTTGACAGATTTCTTTGAACAAACTTTCCCACGTCAATTATACTTGGCACTTGTGATATAAGTAAATGCAATGTGGATTGTAATGATCTTTAATTTTGATAGGATCAAAACTATTCTTACATATCGTAGCATCTAAATTTCTGTAAATCAGTTATCATCCATGACATAGCAGAAGACTTATCCTTCTGTATGTCTGATGTTAAAAAAAAACACCCTTCTTTTCACTGAAATGTTCCCCAGTACTCTTGAGTTTTGAATATGCTAAGAAAGGAAATGTTACAGAAAAGTGTGGATTTGTAGGGGATTAACTTCAATATTTACCAATTTCTTATGGTTATTGGTCTTAAAATTATGATCTAGTGTAAAAGTCAAAAAATCAATTACTGCAATTCAAAGCTGAGAAGATGCCTACTAATTCAAAAGATCTGATGATCATACTGAAAGAAAATGGTTTATAGTACTCGGTTCAATGTTAGAGGTTCCTGAATTTTTTTACCAGTTTGTGCCATGACAGTTAATAAGTCCAAGCTGGGTTGGGGGTGGGATGGGGAAGATGTATCATGCTTATTCAGTTTTGTTCAGTATTTTTGGTGTAATGTACAAACTATATAGCTTGCTAGTGCATGTCCACTAAATATAATCACATTTCTTTTTATGTGAAAAAATGGTTTTGTATAAGCAAACATCAGGTGCAAAAAAAACTTGCTTTATGACCTATCCAAGAAATTGTTTAGCCCTAGATGCAGATCAAATATAGCATTCTGAAAAGATTTATCTGTCTAGGGGGAAGGTACATTGGTCCCAAGTTGGTGGGAAAGAATGTGAATTTTTAACTTCTGTTATGGTGAATTCTATAAGTATTTATATTTACTTAAATATATAAAGTAGCTGTTTTAATCAATAAATTGCACTGTGACTTTTTAATGGATTAACTATTGGCAGCTTTGAGACGTTGCCTTACTGCCACATTTTCACAAGCAAGCTATTTTGGAAAAGTGACAGTCCTGTCATTAAATGTTACATCTCTCATTCCTGAAGTTCAGAGATCATGGGTATATGTAAGAAATCCCAAAGAGAAATAAGAGCCCGAACAGATAATAATACATCCTCTGTGACTAACTAAGATCTGATGTGATTCATATCCATTTACAGTAATGCTATGAGCTCTGAAGGAGATGAGAATAATTCTGAAGCAGCAACTTGTCCATTTAGTGCCCCTCTCAACTTTCCGCCCAGCCTTAACAAATCTCACTGTTTTCTCCACAACAGTTTTTCTTTTCTTTACTATAGTATATTGTGAAACAAGTACTACAGAAGACGGTTGTCTTTGATTATCCCTTTTTGAGATTCCCTATCTGAGCAATAGAAGCAGTAAAGGGAGACCACCTTGGATCATTGAATCATCCAACAACTACATACTGATCAAAGCAGCTGGTTATTCTTCCTGTAAAGGTGTAGGATTTGGAGGAAGAGATTCCTCATTACAGTATAAACTAACTGCCCTTAGTATATTGAATACCTGTATGAATATGACTGCAAGCTTAAGTGATTGCTTTTGTCCCTATGGCGATTAGCTAATCAATAACAATCATGCTTGATAGTGGCAATGTCAACAAGTCTGATGTGTGCTATTTTGCCTATTTAAAAATAGCTACTTGGGAAACTTTCTGAACTGCTTAAAAATGATTAGGAATATGATTAGAAGTATGTTTGCAGTTTTAGCCAAAAGGGCTAAGTTTACTGCAGATACGTTTCTGCACTAAATGAACAAAATTTGGATTTTTCCTGCTGCATTCTTGCAATATTTTCCTATTTTATTTTTTAAAGTCTTTAGTGCTTTCTTTAAAATAAGATGATTTATGGCAGGGATCACAGTGTAATCCAGAGGTTTCTTCAGATTTTCCTAGCAGAATATTTTAAAGAGTTCATCAATTTAAGAAATCCTGTTTTATAGCCAGCATGCTTATATGGCTACCAACATAAGCACTATTTGGGTAGGTTACAGTTCTGATCAGCCACACATTTCAGCGCTAGCTAGATATATTTATCTGTTGGGAAAAAATGAGAATTCCCTCTTCCCTTCCCATAAGGGCCTTAAACTTTCTAGTAAAAATCCTCTCCTTTAGGGATTTTAATTCTCTTTGAAATATGGTATCTTTTTTTATCTTTCCCTACAAGCTTAAGCTTGGAATTTTTAAGCCAAGTTTTCCAGTTTTTTTTTTTTTTTAAATGAATTATGACAGGAGGACCACACATAGCAGTAGAACTTTAGTTTGCTCTGTTTGTTTCCTCATAGCTCGGTCCTTTGGCCCTCTAGCTATTCAATTAATTGTGAACAGTGGAAAAAGAAACTGTTTTTACTATGTTCTTTCTTATTTATTTTTTTGTTATTATACAACTACCCAAGGAAGGTAACTGAATTTCAGGAAGATGTATAGGGTTTGAAGGGTACACGTTTATATTAAAAACACTGATAAAAACAGTTGAATATTTGACCCTAAATTACATCTAACATCAAGGACCATATTTCAGTCATGGAATACAAGTTTCAGAAGCAAATCTGTGTATGTTGGGGAAGGGGAAGAAATTAAAAATCCATTTTGAATTTTATCCAAATTGTTTAGAAACTACAGTATATGCGTAATGGGTATTTTACAAGCAATAAAAATATTAACATTCTGACTTCTGATACTTTTAACTACAGAAAGAAATTGGTGGCAGGACTAGATTCTTAAATATAATCCCTAGGTGAGGCTCGCCAACTTCCTTCCTCTTATCCCTCCAAATCATTTGAAAACCACTAATGACTTGAGAATCAAAACAAACGAAAACACTTTATTGGTAGGTACTAGCTGTGCTTACACACATGCTTAACGTCTTTCAATTCCACATTATCTTAAAAATATACACCTGAACAAAGAATTACAAGTCAGGAAAAACGGCATTTACCAAGTTTAAATGCAAGCATTACATGAAAAAGTTTCCTGCTGAGCTGTGAAATTAACTGTACATTTGTGATTCGTCATCACTATTTTTTCCTGAAAAATTTGAAATGTTAAAATAGTCGAACAGCCACAAAAGTTGAGACGTGGGCTCAGTAGGTGTTCTCAACGTAAATCTTCAATAAAAGACAGCAGGTCCCAGAAGGACCCTTTCAAATGCTCTCTTCTGCAAAGTCACCTTCGGTTCCTGCTTGGACATCCTCAATTGCCTGCAAAGAGCCATCTCCTTGTCCTCCTGTATATGTAGGAAGGCTGTACTTTACAAGGATAGATTTAAACTGCATCAAGGGGGCATTGGTGCGGACACCCATAGGGTCAAAATGAGTTCGGCTTACACGATATCCAGCTTCAAACAGAGAGTGCAAGAACTTATTTAACCTGGGGGGGAAAGTATAGGCATAAGGTAAGTGCCTTTAGCGCTTGCTCTTCGTATTTTCCCCATAATCCCAATCCTGACAGGTAGCAAGAGAATATGACTGGCTCCAAGATACCTAGTGAGAGAGGCTAGGACCCGAGTTTCCATATTTACACCATTGAGATATTTTAAAATTACACTTACTTTGGCATGTTCATTCCTTTAATGCTGTGCCTGTGGACATTATAATAAAAAGCAGGATGCTCTGCATTACTTTCTAACTTCTGGCGCTTTGCTCCATTTTGGTTGATGTCAACACTTTTCCTTTTCTCTGCAACAGAGATCAAGCATCAGAACTTTTTAATATCTTAGTATTTGCTTAGCAAGGGAAATGGTGTAGGAAATATGGAAAACATTTAAGTGCGTGCTTCAGCCAGCAATTACTGCTCCATAAGTATGCTGAAGCATATGTTGGTCCAGACAGATTTTTTTGGCAGAATTGTTCTAGATGGGAGTAGGAAAAGACAAAGAACTAGGAAAATGGCAAAGGGGGATGGATGGGCTGGAGAGGTATGCAGCAGCATTGCATGATCTGCCTGGATTGATCAAATGAGCTGAAAAGTCACAAAATGTTTGCTTCACAAAGAGATGGTTTCATGGATATCTTGTGCAAACTAAAATTAAGGATGATATTCCAGTGTTATTGTTCAGTGAAAGTTTTTGTTTCACTGACTTTCTAAACTAGAATATCCTAGATAATTATTCCTGTTTCCGGATATTATTTTAGATTAATAACTACCTACCATGCACGATGTAGTAATCAGCTGCAGCATCTGATGTCTTAATAAATACACCACATTCTTCTAAAATGTAAGGAAAACAATGATAATTCGGTCATTATAAGGAACAAGTATATATACTTGATACCCTGTTTCCCCCAAAATAAAACATCCCCTGATAATAACCCCAATTGGGCTTTGGAGTGCATTTCAATAATGCCAAGCGATTATTTCAGGGTTCAAAACAATATAAGATAGGGTCTTATTTTCAGGGAAACACGGTCAGATGAAAAGGTTGAGTTAGAAAAACACTCTAAATAACTGAAATAGTATCTTTATAGTTAAAGGACTTGCTTAGAACAGTATGCACTAATTTAAACAGCTCATACTGAGTGTGGGCTGGCGTTGAATGTATTTTCACATAATCATTGCATTTTCATTTGGATAAAATATGCAGTAAATTAGATTTTGCTAATGCTATGAATCACTGTCCTGATAAAGCCATCATAGCTATTTAAAATTGTTCTTTGTAAATGAAACTGCAGTTGAAAGTAATCTCTAATAAACAATGAGGAAAACCCATTTTTTAATTCTGGAACTATATAATAAAAAATAAGTCTTCTGAGGGCAAGTTATTCTTTGCTATATGCCAAGACTTACAATCATTAAAAGTTGCCATTTTAAGGAGGTGCATGGAGGTGCTATTTCGCATGCAGTTCAAAGCACTTTTAAGAAATCAAATCCCTAACCTACATATCTTACTACTCAATAAGGAGGGCTGAGAAAATACCTACACACCCCTCACATCCTGGACATAAGCTGTTTCAATTCCTCTCTTCAGGACACCGCTACAGGACACTGCATGCCAAAACAATCAGACACAAGAGACCATTTTTTCCCTTGTGCCATCACTCTGCTGAAGTACTATTTTCTGTCTTCTGTATATTTTACCCATGCAGTATAGCTGTATTACTTCTAATCTTTTCTACTACCTTCTATTATTGGTATCATTAATGTGAGTATTATTTTGCATGTACACTGAAAGCTTATGCACCAGAGACAAATTCCTTGTATGTCTAATTACACTTGTCCAAATAAAGTTTTATTTTATTTCTATTCCTACTCGATAACATACCACTTCATGGATGTTTTACTTTTTTGCAAAAATTAACATCACAACAACCAGAACACAAGCTTGATTTACAGCCCCTTGTTGGCTTTATGTATTAAATTGGACTTTTTAAAAATTACTAAACATTTTTTTACCATCATCATGCCTTCTCACCTTGTTTACTCTGACTGCTAGGAGCATGAATTGAAAACTGTTTCAGTGTTGTGCATTCTGCCTCACAGATCAGTGTTTTTAGAAGTGCCTGGATATCTTCTAAGCCGTACTGAACTGATTCAAACAGCATTCTTCTAAGAAAACCTGTATTGAAGATGGATCCTGACCTACAGTACAACAAAACTATAGAATGTTAATGGAGAAATTTATTTTAAAAAGAGTATTTATGTTAGAAAAAAATGTCACGGGATGATATTGCTAGTGTTTATTTCCTAGATTTTAAGGGATTTAAAGAATCTGAAATGTATTTGGATTTCTCTTTTGCAAACAACATATTCAGATGGTTAATTAGTGGAGGTAAAAATCTTGGCCTGTTTCCTAAACCACAAAATTTTATTGTTCCCAACAAAAATTAGAACTGTATTAAAAAAGTGTACTCAGCCTATTTCGCCTAGTAATTTTTTTAAAAAAAGGATGGAACCTATTAATTAGGAAAACTATATTCTAGTTATGCATATTCAAAATTATGTAACAAATATATGTTTGCACTTATTTTTTATAAAAATCCAAACTGTAACCAGAAATTTACCTTACAATGATCAAGCAAATGTTTTTATTTATTTCCTCTTTTGTTTCTAATAAGCGCACAACTTTTTCAAACAGCACAAATCTCTTCTGGAGTGCAATGGGTAACATTTTAGGTAAAAATAAATTGCCTGATTTCAGACTGATTCTAATATAGCAGTAAATTAGAATGTAATAGTAACAGACATCAAGCAGAAATGTTCATTAAACCTCAGTGTTAATGCCTTATTGGGCTATGAGGTAGCCATGGAGGAGAAACAAAGAGGCACATGGGTGAAAATCTGAGTTAACAATAGAAAAGAAACCAGGAACATTCAGATGCATACAGGTAGTCCTCGATTTACGACCACAATTGACCCCAGAAATTATGCTGCTAAATAAGAAATTTGTTAAATGAGTTTTGCCCCATTTTATGACCCTTCTTGCCACATTTGTTAACTGAATCACTGCATTTGTAAAATTAGTAACACGGTTGTTGGTGAATCTGGCTTCCCCATTAACTTTCCTTGCCAGAAGTTCACAAAAGATAATCACATGAACCTGCGACCCTGCCACCATCATAAACATGAACATGTCAAGCATCCAAATGTAAATCATGTGACCACAGAGATGCTGCAACCGTTATAAGTGTCATTGTAACTTTGAACAGTCACCAAATGAATTGTTGCACATCAAGGACCACTTGTAACTGAAAATGGATACATTACATATATTTAGAATGCACTGCAGTGTTCAGTTGAAGCCAATGAAAAAATAGTCCCCTAAAGGACTTTTTTTGCAACTTGATAGTGCAAATATTTAATTGCACAATGAAAAATACAATACAATATCCAACAAAGAAAGGTAAATGTGAGATGATTTCAATTTTTTTTATGTCCTTTATTAAAAGACCTTGCCTCTATCTAATTAGAGGAGACATTAACTACATTTACTTCCAAGTAAGTAAAAAAAGGATTGCACTTTAGATGCTAGGTATAGGAAAGAGTATTTTATTAATGTATTACACAACTTTCTCAATCTAATTTTCATTCTTATTCTGAAGTGAGAAGAGACTCAAAAAGAATACTTACCACAACGGTCCCAGTTCAACTGCTGTCTTCCCAGTCATTTGGTTATGGCAGTCACATGGAAGCTGCCAGTAAGGATTGTCTGTGAAAAAGAAACAGTAAAACATATTTCTTCTAGACCAATATCTGAGTGATACATAATTTATGAATGTTATGGAAATTGAAATGCTAATAAATTAAAAGCCATTATAATTACAAAAGTAATTTGTTCTGGCTGTTTAACTAAACACTATAATTTCAGAAATGGGTGAATTAATCCCTGTAGGCATGCATAAAACATGAGTTTATATTACAGCTTACTTCCTCTGATTATACTTCCTAAACTTGATGGAGAGCTGAAGTTCAAGTGTAATAATAGCATTAACACTTGAACAATGAGAGTAAAAAGCTTAGGTTTTGATTTTGATCCGATCATTGTAATTTGATTTAACCTACCTCATGGCACTACGAGATACTAGTTTATTGCAGTAAATTTAAGGCAGATGCTTTTCCCTAAGAAGCGTTCCATGGAACAGGCAAATTCAGATCATGGGGAATCATTAATCAACTATATGCCCACTTAGTATGTTTTACAAATATCACCTGAAGTTAAGTCCAAAGTAATTGTGTGCATGATTGCAACCTTCCTGTACAATAAGTAGTTCTCATTTCTCATGAAAACAATTCCAATATTGTTTTCAATTATTAGCTCATTAATTTTATTCTTCTTTATGCTATTGCTCTCATTAAGAGCTTTCTGTTGCAAAAAGAGGAAGGGTACAAATAAAATGATGCAGGACTATCATCTAGGTTTTAATTCAGCACTGTACTGAAATAGTCTGCTGCACAAAAGTTAATTTGAGAATAGATTACTATTGAACAAACAAGCCACACAAAAGACAGGTGCTGTGGTGATTTTGTTTTCATTAACTGAACCACCCTGAGAACTAGCTGAAATTACAAAATAGGATTACCTTCTATCATGTTGCCCTCTCTTTTGAATATCCTCTCTTCACACCATTGACAGTGAATCAGATATCGAATTTTCTTGACAGTATCATCTGCAGAAGAAGGACCTCTCAACACTCTCACTTGTACTAGTACAAAATGTTCAAGAGCCACAGCAAACAAAACTTCAATGCCTTTGTTGCATCTAGCAGCAGCTCTGTAGAAAGAGAGACTATTAAGAATAGAATCTAGCAAAGGCTAAGTCTTCCCAAATGTCCGTACTCCTAACTTCATATAGAGGCTTGTCTTCAATGGACATTTTTTTGAATTTCTGAATGCATTCAAGACAAATATAGCAAATTCAATCCATTGATTGCTTCGGTAATGTATTTATATATTGCCCAACATTTATATACTGCCCAACTCCTAGTTACTTTGGGGAGGGAGAGAAGGTATTATATTTTTAAAAACCATGTAAAGCCAGAAAACAAAAAAGAACAAAGATGGCAAAGATAGCTAGCCCAGGTAAAACCAAAGAAAAAGAAGAAAAACTTCAATCACACTTGGCAAAGAGTCAAGGCTCCCATCAGAGTGGAGGTTGACTGAATCTCAGGGAGAACTCATCATAGCTAATTTTTTAAAAAAAATCATAATTCCATCAAATTAGTTCCTGCATGAAATGAGCCTTAATAAAGATGAACTCAAAAGTGTAATTCAAATTGGTGTTTTAAAATGTGTCTATTCATATTGTACAACTGACTTGTGCACCCACATAATGTAAAAAAGGGTGTCGTTCTAGAGGGCAGGCACCCAACTGGACAAGAGTTCCTTCCCTGTTATGATAGTGTTTTTTATGCCAACAGTTGGATACTATTTCAGAATAATTTTTTGGCATTTCAAAAATCTATACATAATGGGATTGCTGTTGAGGCTTCCTAAATCAACTTGATTAAGGAACCATTTTCATACTCTGTTTAATCCTGGAATATTCTATCTGGTGATTATTCTTATGTAGCATAATTGTTTGTTCTCCCTTTATTGAAATGGCTCTTTAGTAATTATCTGGATGTGTTTTCTTGAAAGAAATCTATTTCAGCAAGGTCCCAAACTTTTGCAGTTATTCCTTAGATCTGCAAACCATCAGTCCTATAATAATTACTAGAAATTCAGTTTCTGCTTTTTTTTGTTCACATTCAAAGACTGTAAAAAGGATGTAGAGGCTCAAAAATACAACATTCAGCTTTGTGGATCAAACCTTTTGTACAGAGGCTCTGAAGAAGTTTTCAGTTTACACATTCATAATTCTTGATTTAATTGCTGAAGGTTACTGAGAAACAGGATATAAAAATCAACTTTGCTTAGTCCCTTGTATAAAAGTAAGCAACAAGGTAAAGACTGCAGGCATCTAATATTAGAATTTGAAAGAACTATTCGGGAAATGCAACTGCACCTTGCCACAGCAGCAAGTACCATCCTAGCAGCCAGCTCCTTATAGTATTCGGTCCTGATAATGTTGCAACCATAATGACGTTGGGTCACATGCTGCGCCTTTGAATAGAGAGAACTTGTATCTGTTGATGTCACTGAAACAATTCCAAGATTTCTTATATTTCTGAAAGCTGCATCCAAGTAGTTTACTGATGATCCAAATGGGTCCAGGTGGCTGTATGATAATGTAGGAGACAGAATATAGCACAGTAAAAATTACACAAATAAGAAAATGTATGCACAACCTGTATCTTGCTTACTAAAATGCCATACACTTCAACAGGAATTCCTTTCAAAAGAGTACTGTCTGCCTAAGGTTGTAATTTTATATATTATATTGTCACGTTTTTAAAAAAATCTAGTGCCTATTCAAATCTAAAGTAAAACAAAACGTTGACAATATAAGCTGATTGTCAGAGCTATATAGATAGAAAAGTATGCAGTAAGCCCAATTAACTATCTGAACCCAGATGAAGAATGCAAACAGATTTCTTGGGATTTAACAGACATTGTAGGCAGAAGAAAGCAGCATGAAACCAAAGCGCAACAATGGTTCTTAAGAGATATTTTTAAGCAATCTTAATTTTCCAAATCAAAGATTCCAGAACATGGCTTCCGGTTTGACTTCCGTCGCCATCAGACGGTCCTTTGAGACCGCCAGCCCCGTCGCTCGTAAAGAGCCGCCTTTACATCTGAAAGGCGGCTCGAAAAACTCCATTTCCATAAGGAAGTGTGAGATAGAGCAGGCGAGGGCAGGTAGAGCCCTCTGCGAAGTCCCCAGAGTTTTTCTTTTACTCTTGGGGACGAAGCAGGATGAGGCTCCCTATTTCCTTCGCCGCTGCTCCGAGCTTCGGGAGACCTCTGCCTTTTGCAGAGCCAGGAGACGAGATCAAACCTTTCAATGAAAACAACAGATTGCTTAATTAAAGAGGATGAGATCTGGACTTGGGACCCTAAATTGCAAGTATTTTTAATGATTTTATAAGCGTTTCTAAGTGAAGGGAAAAAAAAGCTTAAAATGGCGACCGCTGAGGCTTGAGAAGTAACCGAAAGTGAAAGTCCTTCCGTAACAAGCTACAAAGTAGCGGAGCAAACAGTGCTGTCTAGAATAGAGAAAAGAAAAAATTTCTATTCTAAGTTTCTTTTTTTTCTTGGAGATCTGATATTGATCTTGTTGGAGAGAAGTCCTCTTTCTTCAAAAAGAGTTTGTCTGTGTGGCAGGATGGTGTTAAAACTAACAAAGCCAGACAAACAAGCAGCGGGGGGGGGGGGTTTCCCCCATTTACAATTATGTGAACAAGTTTCGAGTTTACAGACTCAGAAGAATGGTTTTAATTTAAAAGAATTTGTTTTGAAGGAAATGGTAAGACATGACGAGATTGTGAACCAGAATTTTGAAAAATTTAAGCAGGAAATTAAAGAATTCATACAATTAAAGTATGATAACTTACAAAGAAAGATTGTAACAGTGACTAATGCTTTTTCAGAAATAGTTATAAAGATGGATACAAATATCAAGTTATTAGAGTCTAAAATGGAGGATAATTTGAACAATAAAATACAAAGAATGGAAAATGATTTGATAAATATTCAAGACAATAGCTCTGAAGTAAAGTTTAAAAAGCAAGCTGATCATGAGACTTACAATGCAGAGAATATAAAACAAGGGATTGAAAAAGAAGTTACAATGATGCAATACAGGCTCACAGAATTTGCGGTTAGAATGAGAGGGTTACAGGAAAATAATAGAGATGATTTAAGAAAAATATCTGCTGAAGTTCTGGCTGGGATTTTAAAGATTCATCCAGAGGAGGTATTTTGTAAGATCGACAAGGCCTATAGAGTAAATTCTTGGATTGCAAAGCAAAGGCAATTGCCTAGAGATGTGGTGATTTATTTTACAGATAAAGAAATAAGAAATGATATTGTGCAAAAATCTTTTAATTCCACTCTACAATTGTATGGAAGAAAGATCTGGATATATAAAGAGTTGCCGCCCAAGATATTAAAAGATAGAAAGAAATTCGTATTTTTGGTGACTGAGCTAAACAAACAAAACATCTCATTCAGGTGGGATGTCCCAGTTGGCATAATATTGAGATATCAAGGAGAAAGATACCAACTAAATTCTGTTGAAAAAGCGGAAGAATTTTACTATAAGGTTCTTAAAATGGGTTCAACATCTTCATGTATAATACATGAGTGGAATAAAGAAAAGCAAAATCAACAAGAGATAGAAATTCAGGATAAGCAGAAAGAGATGGAAGTAATGGAAAAACAACAAGTTATAGAGGACTCTGTAGATGAGCAGCTTCTGGATTCTCCTTCAGAGGTTACAGCTGGACTATTTATAAATACAAGAGAGGCAGCTTTGGATTCTAATGTGATGATTCATCAAGTTACAGACCAGCATAGAAATCAATCAGTTGACATAAAACTCAAAGAAAAGAAACCAGAATGGAGACTTAAGCCACAAAAGCAAAACCAACAAGATCAAGTTATAGATCAGCATGAAAACCAAATAGTTGATACACAATTTATAGAAAGGAAATCAGGATGGAGATCTAACCCACAAAAAGTCAAGAAAAGAAGAAGCTGGTCTTACAAAAACAAAAACTTTTAAACTAAACAACAGTGCAATGCCAGTTATCTAAGAGATGATTGAATATATGAAAAGATAGCTGAGGCAAAGTATTGATTTATATTATCCTGAGGAGAGTGACAGACCTCTGCAGTGCTCTACTTTTGGGATGTGAAAAGGGCCTTAAACTGAATGGATCGGAATTATCTGTTTTGGATTCTTTGATAAATGTATTACGTTTATGTTGAGCTACAAGGCAAGAGTTATGGGATTGGGGCACGCAGAAGATCTGGTTGTTACCCTATTACGGTGGTTGGAATTAATAATTTAGATGAAAGACACTACTATAGACACTATATGGAATACAAATATAAAGTCACTCGGGTGGTTGTTTTTTATATATCAAGACATCTATTGTTGATGGGGGCAGATGGTAATTGAAGATACCGAACATACTGTTGGAAATAGGATGTGATGTTACCCTAACATGGGTGATGGAGTTAACAATCCAGCTGAAAGACACTACAGAAGATATTATATGGATTACAAGCTTAAAGTCATTTGAGGATTTTATTTATATAAGGGAATACTTCTTAGTGGTGTGGGCAGAAGAATAAAGATATCAAGAACTATTATGTATGATAGTTCTGTAGGAAAGTGGGTGGAGATAGGTTAGCTTATTGTTTAGTTGAAGAAAAGGGATATTATGTTTAGATATGAATATATGTAAAAGATTTGAGTTAAGAGATATATCTATGGGGGTGGAGGAAATGGGCAGACTATGAGTTGAATAAATGTTAAATTAGGATTTATTATATACTTTTATAGTGGAAGGTTGCTTTGAAATATCATATTAATATACAAAAAAAGATTTAAGAGATTTAAGAGATATATGTATGGGGGAGGAGTAAAAGAGTAGATTATGGGTAGAAATTGTTAAATTGGGGGATATAATAATATTAATATGCTAAATTAGGAGTTATTATATAATGTTATAGTAGAATGTTATTTCAAAATGTATAGTATAAGGGGGATATAATAATATTATTAGAAAGAAAGGGTCAGCATATGGGGGATGGAGCAAGGGGATGGTAAAGTATTATATAATCTGTTATGAATTTGGGTTGTATCTTGAAGAAGCCACAGGGGGAGGGGAGGGCGAGGGGGGGTTAGGGAGGAGGGGGGGAAAAAGGGGGGGAAAATTTGTATTTGAAAAACTTTTTCAATAAAGATTCCAGAACATAATTATAATTCCTTCAGCAAGCACTGATGTCCTTCTTCAATCAATCAGTTTGTGACCTAGATCACAGAATACTAAACCGTAATAGAAAATCCTGTGAATTATGTATTTTAGTTGACTTAAAGAGGTAAACCTTGAACCTGCATACCAATCTTTTTGTGTTCTATATCTATATTATTCTCCATCTAGATATTGGAAAGCACAATTGGGGAAAGTGGGATTGAAGTAAGACTAGACACTTACATAAAATCAAATGCTCTCAAATGCATGATGACATTGGCATCCATTTTTGTCACCTCAATGGTAGGCAAGTTTTCTTCCCCTTCTTCAATTGCTTCATCACAGTCATCTTCCTCAAAATTCATCACAACTTTCATCTTATTTAAATGACAATTTTCTTGTATCATGGTCACTGAATTTTCATTATAATCATTAATTGTGACTTTTACTGAATTTCCGAGATGCTTTGCCCACTGTAATCCCATTATACCTGGAAGGCAGATGATATATACATAATGAATTCAGCAAAAGGCATGCCAACAGACTTGTGACCTCTACGTGGAATACATATACAGGTAGTCCTTGTTTAATTACCATAATTAGGATCAAAACTTAGTTATTAAGCAAAATGGTCAATAAGTGAAACCATATCTGCGCTTATGATTTTACTTCAGTTTTTCTTTGCTCTGCAGACCTATGAACTCATAAGTGTATGGATTGGTAGAAAAGTTACTTTTCATCATTCTCGTTACTGAATCGCTGCTACATAAGGCAGTCACTAAATAGTACATTTAATAAAAACCATGAAATCAATACAACTTTTCTCCAATTCTATTACAAATATATATGCACTTATAAAATTCAATGGCAGGGCAAGCTTTAAAAAAAAGGTGCATTCCTAAGCATCTTTATTCAGAAATAAATTCTATTAATAAGACTTATTCCCCCAAATTGCACCTAGATATACAAATCCTCTTTACAAATGATAAATCAAAATGTATAACAGGAATCTACCAGTGGCTCCAAATGCATCCAGACATTCCAAAGGTTTCCTTTCCTCAGTTAGAACTGTTAAAGCACAGACTATAAGTTGTCTAAAAGAAAAAGAAGAAAGTATACTGAAAACACATGTAAACCATGCATTTATTATTCTTATATCTTGTTTAAAGGACAATGTCTGAAAAAAATAAACTATTGAACATATATAACATAGTTGTAATTATTCTTATTATTTTGGCCAATCTAAAGTACTGAGATTTTTGATAGGGCTTCAATTGAAGAGAAAGAATAGTTCACTTCATGTACAATGCTAAGACATAGCTTAATTAAAATGATCAAAATTCAGGTGCCTGCCAACCAGTATCTATTTATGATGGTAGCAGCATCCTGGTATCATGGGATCGCCATTTGCAAAACTTTCCCAGCTGGCTTCTGAGAAGCAAAGTCAATGGGGGAAGCCCAATTCTATAATATGATTCATTTAATAACCAGGGCAAAAAAGGTTGCAAAATTGGGTGCAAATCAGTTAACAACTGATTTGCTTAGCAGTGGAAATTCTGGTCCCAATTATGATTGTAAATCGAGGACTAATTGCAGCCCTGGTTTAATGATGAGATGCTATTATTTTAGTTCAAACCTCACTTGAATTCTTGGTTGACTGACTAGGTTTCTAATAATTAGGTTATAAAGGGTTCTCTTTAACCCTTTATAACCCACAATACAGCAAAAATGTATACAATTACTGGCTTCTGTTAATAAGAAAATTCACAATATTTATTTATAATTCTTCTCCAAACAATGGTATCATTTTTTACCTGTTAAGTTTCATTTTGGGGTTAAAATAGGAATCGGTTTTCTGAGGTGTCGAATAGTTAGGAAGGACTTGTACATCTGTGTCCGCTTCCTTCAGTACTTCATATTTAGGAACAAGGGCTAAGGATTATTTTCAGATGAAAGAGTGTTACAGCCCATTTCAGAGGATCATTCAAAGTTCCACAAATCACAGATCAGAATCTATCCTATTCTCCTAACTTGCTAAATGATACTAACCAGAGTTTTCACATTGAGACCGTATAAAAGCTAGAAAGTGAGTTCCAAAATGTCCATATGAATAGAGAGATGGTTCTAGGAACAACTATCTGGTTAAGATTATTGTTCCTGACTCCTTTAACCTTGGTTAATAAAGAAATGAGTGAATGAAAGGGCCCTACTGATGATACCTGCATGGTGTATAAAGTTGAAAACTACCATGATAATTCAATTCAAACTGAAATATATGAAAGACATTGGAAGAAGTAAAACAGGATTCTGATCTTACTTAAAACTATTTTATGGTGAAATGTCACCACTATGCCATCATATTAAAGAGAATTTAAGCTATGCTTGGATTCGGTCACAATCCTTAAAAGATATCCTTATTAGAAAAAAAGGATTTAATCATGTGATAAAATATATGATAGTTTTTATAGAAAACCTAGAGCAGAAGAGAGGAAACTTCTTGGTCAGGGATTATTTCTAATGGCATCTTCCACAACTGTTTTACATCAACCATGCCAGCTAGAACTGATAGGAGTTGTAATTAAGAACACATCAAAACCACCAGATATATATCACTATTTTGTTTGTTTCCCAATATCAATTTTCAGCAGCTTCAGCAATGGTGGCATTGTAATTCAGAAACGTTTGGGAGCCACAAGTTCACTTATGTCTTAGATGTATTTCATAATCAACATTTTAAAACTGTACAATTAAAAAAGAACAATGACTACTTAAAGACATATGCTTTTCTAGAGGAAGGAAACAACTACAAAATATAATCCTTGAATAAGTTATTTCCCCAACAACTAAATCCAAAGATACAATAAAACAACACTTTTACTATGTAACATTATTAATAACTCAGCTTACCCTCTTTAAACAAATAAGGTCAAATAAAGATACATAAAAATTGTACCTAGAAATTACAGAAACCTTGTCCTTTTAAGATGTTCTGAGTTCCTAGACAGAAATATAAAATCATAAAGTTTCACTATTCTAAATTTATAATTTATTCAGTCTATGACACTGAATGTTCAAAATAATGAGAGCTTTATGAAGAAAAAACAGAGCTATATTAACTACTTACTTGAAGTAAATCTTGATTCAGTTTCTCCTTTATTTACATGTCGTTTAATATGTCCTACCATGTCACTTCTTCGGCTGATCGTTGCTGAACAGATAATACAGTGATAATGCGATCCCATTTTTATGGATATCTATAACACACACCACATACAAATTTAAAATTCAAAAATGCTTTTATTAAAGTTATACGGTGCCTGTAAAAGAGCCATAGATAAATTATATTTTAATCTTTAATTCACCAAGGTATTAACACTGAGATTTTAATTTATTAAACTCAAAAAACATAATAAAGTTTAGATCAGCATTTTTTTAAATCAAAAGTGCTACTGCTAGAATACTGCAATGCAATCTATATATATATATGGTAAGATGCTTTTCAAAATAGTTTAAATGGTAATTTCAGTAGCCAATAAACTAATGAGTAAAGCAAGAATACACTATCTGTTTAAAGGATTACATTCATTCTCAACTTGTTTCTGGGTGCAATCCAATGGTGGGTTGTCCCCAGTTCGGACTGGTTTGAAAGAACCGGTAGTAAAACCGGCGGGAGGCTCCACCCACCGCCCCGGATGTCATCATCGGCGATCCCATTGCGAACCGGTAGTAAAGGTAAGTAGAACCCACCCCTGGTGCAATCTAATTATTCACTATAGTACTTAAAGACAAAAAAGATATGAGAAACTTAATAATGTACTTCCTCTTTTCTTACATGTCATTATTACCTATTATGCATGAGAGGATACAAAATTGAGGTAAAAAGTTTATATTGTAAACTAAACATTCTTTATAGCAAATATTGGACAGAATATATATAGGTGAGAAATATAATGTCTGAAAGGAAAGCTTATCCGCCCCCCAGTTTATTAGAGAACTCAAGTTCAAAATTGAGATGAATGTACTTCATAAATAACTAAAATGGAACTGATCATAGCAACAATTCACATAGCTGAATAGCTGTTACCTGGTCTCCTACAACATTTGGTTTCACAGGCCGGCATGGCAAGTCACAGATGCACATTTTGTAGCCTGAAATTCAAAAAAGACATTGGACACCTCTAAATGATTATTTAGTTTTCAACACTGAATTCATTCATGTTCTGAAGTTCTATCTTGTCAAACTGTTTAACTTTTAACTTCTTGAAATAAAGTGTCACCACCACAAGTGATGTAAATTTCATAATATGAGATGTGGACAGAGGAACTTCAAATGATCTCCAAGGATTGTGCATCCATATTTTTAAAGCAAGTGCCTAATTATATAAATTAAATAAAGCTGATGAGTGAGAGGCCTATTTTAACACTACGTTTTTCTCATAAATACCATCAATGCTATTAAAGATTTCATCAATATCTCTTTTGGTCAATCAAGTGGTCTAAAGAAAAAAATTTTTTCCAGCTATAAGTAGTTGGAAATGATGCAAAGTTCTTTTAGGATGTGGGGAAGAGCTCATGACACTTTTTAAAGAAATCATATTTGATGGGGTAGGAGGAAAAAAGAAAAGACAGCTCAAGTAGGGCTTTCTTTTTATCTCATTCTAATAGGACAAAGGTAGAAAACTCAGATTAATAGATTAACAATTAAAATAAATTAGAAATTAAAGCCAGCAGTATTAATAAAAAAAATCAAAACATTAAAGATATTTATATATAAGGACAAACTGATTGGAATTAGGGTTTGATTTATATATTGCTACAATATTCAATAAACATTCTAACTCACACATTGTCTAAGGAATCTCATTCTGGATTTGAAGAAAAATAAAATTTATATGGACATGTGAAACAAGCATAAGATACACAACTGAACAGTCTTTAGCATTTATGTTGCTCGGATACTAAGATGTACATTTCATATTCCCATTTTTGTGGCATAGATGGATGTTGAATTCATTTTAGTAGGCATTTAGAAAAAATAAAGAAGAAAAACAGAAAGTGAGAAAAATAAAATACCAGATGAAGCTATGCAACGGCCTTGCTGGTCACAGCTGCAACCTGGTCATCAAGCAGGAGCTGTTAAGTCTAGGAAGACCTTTGAATGGAGAAGTGTCACCCTTATCCAAGAACAAAAATTGGATATTTTGGCCCTGAAGCCTAGCTCTTCACCCAGTGTGGCTGAAGCCTCTTTTTCCCTGTTCCCTTGTGGGTTTGTTATCTCTGTCATCTTTGTTCTTTTTTGTTACGTGTTGTTTCAAATGTATTTAAAAATTTGTAAACCACTGAGAGTCACCGACTTATCAATTTATTAAATAATAACTTCTGTACCCCATAAAAATCTCTCAACCATAGCTCTTTTTCAGTCATTGAAAAATGACTTTTTCACAGTATTGCATAAAAAGCTTGCAGCTCATTCAATAGAGAAGTCTGTACAACTCTAGGTGAGATGGAAAGTCTTTTGTAAATCAAAGAAAATAAAAGCTTCTTGCCAAGAAGGGCGAATACTTCACATTGCTAAATATTTCATTCTTTATCTGAATTAATGATTAAATCTATCTTTCTTGGCAAGTCTTATAATATATATCCTAGGAAAAAAAATGTCCTGAAGTTTTGTTGAATTTTATCTCTTCCATTATTGAAGTACACTTTCCGTATTCAGAAGTAATAATTTTTTTTCTTGGGTTTTTTTGCAGATTATATTTATTTATTTAAAAGAGTTATATGGCCATCCATCTTTTGGCACACAACCAAGCTAACAGCAATAAACACGCACACAAAACAATACAAGAAAAATCAAGAAAAATAAGGCAACATCAACTAATCTCAAAATCCATCTTCCACATCCATTCATCTATATTATCTCCTGGTCTCCAACCTTATTGTCCTAAACCTTGGGGCAAAAGCAGAGGTGAAATGCTCCCGGTTCGGACCGGATCGCCTGATCCGGTAGTGATGGTGGCGGGTGATTTCGAGAACCGATAGCAAAAATCCCTGCGCGCCCCCACAACGCCTAGCTGAGCTGCACGATCATCAGAGGCTTTTTTTTTTTTTACTTTTAAAAGCATTTTTTCTACAACCTCTTCCGATGAAAAAATGCTTTTAAAAGTAAAAAAAAAAAAAGCCTCTGATGACTGCACAGTTCAGCTGGGATCATCAGAGGCTTTTCAAAGCATTTTTTTCTGCAGCCTCTTGGCTGAAGAGGTGGTAAAAAAAATGCTTTGAAAAGTCTCTGACATCCCAGCTGAGTTCCCTAATCGGCAGAGAGGCATTTTTTAAAAGAGCCTCTCTGATGATCCCAGCTGAGTTCCTGATCGGCAGAGAGGCTTTTCAAAGCATTAGAAAAAATGCTTTGAAAAGTTTTAAAAAAAAAAGTTGGCCACACCCACCCAGTCACATTAACCCCACCCCACCAAGCCATGCCCACAGAACCGGTAGTAACAGATTTTACATTTCACCCCTGGGCAAAAGCCAACTGTTTTCTTCTCTTGAATTCTGGCTATTATAAATTAAAGAATGCCCCTGTAATCATGATGTTTAGTTACAACATTAATTACAGAGAAAACCTAACAGTTGTCATCTAACTGCATTAGCATTAATAATGGTGATTTAGCTACATTTACCTTCAAATTCAACAGATACTTTCCAATGAAGATTCTGAAGGTGGCGACGGAGCTTGTGACTATTGCAAGCTTTGAACCTCTCTTCAGGACATAATGGGCAGGACCTCTTGTCAGCTGATATTTTAAATTAAACCAAAATAAGAAAAAAATATGCAATAACCCAATCTTTCAGTATTGAAGGTTTTTTGTCAATATACGGAAGTAATATTTGCATCTCAACTGAACAACTTGTAATCAAATCATTAATAGCTGAACTATCTAAGAAATTTATTTTCTTTAAAAGCTATGGTTTAAGGTTTAGTTGAACTAGTGTTGAAATATCTGCAATCCAAGACAGAAATAGAAATATTTGATTTTTTTTTCATACGATTAAAATAATAATCAAAGGTTACTAGAAAAAAGTAGCACATCATTGCCTTCTGAACAGACATTCTTTTCTTTGTTCCTTTCCATCCATTAGGGATAATTTTGCCCCAAGTCTCTGTGAAATTAATTCTACTGCATCTTCTTACTTGGACGTGACAAGGATAGAACTGCAAGTATAGCCCTAAATAAGTAAAATGATACTTCTGGGTTTTCTTAAAAATCTTTTATTTACTACTAATTTTGGTAATTCTTTACACAGATTGCTAGACTTATAACGATCACTGATGCATGATTCCTTATTTGGTTCCTATTTTAAGATAAGTAACATAGTTTCATCAGATTATCTCAGTTTTCCATACCTACCAAGCAAAGTACTTGCCTAAGAACTGAATGCCACAAGCATTGCATTTCCATTATTTGTTGTTTCTTCTGGAAATATTTTAAATACCTGCTAGTTGTTGGTCTTCACTCTTGGAATCGGAGGAAATTTGGCAGCCTTCCTGCAAATCAGTCAGTTTTTCTAAATCATCAAGGGTCCGCTGAATTGAAATATGTTTCTCTAAAATAAATAATTAAAATTACTTTTTAGCAAAGTCTGTGCATGTATATATGCACTATACATAATCAAATGCTATTTAACTTCAATCTTTCAAAAAGTTTTAAAAAGTTTGGAGTCTTTGTGCACTATAATTCTCAAGCTCCTCTGTTTTTATAATGGCCCATGCTTATCTAATAATCTTGCCTATTATATCATAGTTATGTAATAGTACTGTTGTACTCTTTGTATTCCCCAAACAAATCCAAAAAACTAAAAAAATCATTAAAAACTTCATAATAAATTTCTACAACAGCTCATACACTGACAACATATTTACATAGTACATAGGCTTGTAACTGGAATATCTGTGGATCTCATCAACTACATTTCAGGATTATCTGACCAACTGAGTGTGTTTGGTTTGCAAGTTTGAATGGTCACTCAATCAGTGGTAGTTAAATGAGAACTATTTGTAGTATCAAAAATGTTTATGCTATTTGTAAATTCATACATATCCATAGGTTGCACTGAAAGCAAAGAATTTTCTCCACAGAATTAGAATAAATCTTAAACTCTGATTTCTAGCTATAAAAAGGTTAACTATTTCCTATATTTTTGGCTCAGTTGTCAGTGACAAAGAATAAAAAGTGTATTTTGCTTTTATATATCTCCGGATATATAATTATATTATAGGAATTCCTGGTATTGAATATTTACTTTAGTGCATATACTTAATTAGGGAAAAATCCCAGTGTATTCAATGGGCTTCCTCATTACTAACTGTATTCTGATTACATGTTAAATTTCATTTGACTGGCTGGTGACATAAATTCCTTTCTAGAAATTTGGGGTAATTTTATGATGCATAGAAGAATTCTATGCTGTTGAACTTTGGCAGTGGCGCTAGAGGATTGCATATATATTTTAATAAACTTAAACAGGGTTTAGGAACCAATAAGTGTAGATAACACATGCCTGGCTAACATTATAAGATTTTGTGACAATGGTATTACACTACTTCAAAAAGTGATAAGCAGTGATAAGTGAGATTTGATTTATAAATATTGAGAGAAATAAATATGATCATACTGTACCAAGAATTCACATCTTTCCTTGAAGATGTAATAGCTTTCAAAATAATAAATTAGAAGATGTACCTCATCTTATACTCTTTAACTGTATATCTTTACTAATTTTAAAAAGATAGATGGACAGAATATTTCAATTCTTGTAAATCACCCCAAATAAAGCAAGGGTTTCTGTATTATGCTAGCAAACCTTGTGGCATTTTAGATGATGCATCTAGGAGATTACTGTTAAGATCTTCAATGGAATTTTGCTCTGATTTTTTCATTTTGGCATTTATATCTTCATTAATGATTTCTGTATCTTGCCCAGGGCTATCAGGTTCTTTGGGGACATCCATCCCATCTACAGAAATTAATAAAGAAACAAGATTGTAAGGCAAAACAATACACGTTAATTAACCTCAATATTTTATGTGTAAATCTACTACAGTATTCTAATTAGTATATTTGGAATGCAAAAAGTGTGAGATAAAAGATAAATTAGGCCCATTACAATCAACAGGATTTCAAAAATAAGTCCCATAGAATTTAGTTGGTTTTTTCCAAACAAGTAGCATATCTATTGTCAGATTTACTAAAAATAACACTTGTGCAATATTGAAGACCAAAGGGAACAGGATTAAGCAATTAATTTTCCCAAGGAGCAACATGAGAAATTGGGACTGTTGTGGAGGGCTGCTGCCCCATCATGATTACCTCCCCTCCCCCGCTGCAGGCCAGATAGGAATGACCAAAGGACTGGATGTGCTTGTGGGCCATAAAATGCCCAAGTCTGTTTTTTTTTTAAAAACCAAAGGAATACAGGTAGTCCTCGACTTACAAAAGTTCATTTAGTGACCATTCAAAGTTACAACAGTATTGAAAAAAATGACTTATGACCACTTTTCACACTTATGACCATTGCAGCATCCCCATGGTCACATGATTTACGTTCGGATGCTTGACAACTGACTCACATTTAGGATGGTTGCAATGTCCCGGAGTCATGTGATCCCCTTTTGTGACCTTCTAACAAAGTCAATGGGGAAACTAGAAGCACCGCCCTGAGTCCACTAGGAGAAGGGCGGGATACAAATTGAATAAATAAATAAATTTAACAACCATGTTATTAAGATTAATCTTAGTAATAAATCTGCAGTAATTCACTTAACAAATGTGGCAAGAAAAGTCATAAAATGAGGCAAAACTCACTTAACAAATTTCTCACTTAACATAAATTTTGAGCTCAATTGTAGTTGTAAATTGAGGACTACCTGTAATGTATTCTAGTATAGACAAAGCATTCAAAATGAGTATAACCTAAAATGTTAGGGTTAGGATTGTAGTACACCAAAAAGGGCATAGATGGGGGGTTAGGTGAATAAGGGGAGTTGAAGCGCCTCTATACCCTGTTTCCCCCAAAATAAGACATCCCCTGATAATAGGCCCAATTGGGCTTTTGAGCGCATGGCAATAAGGCCAAGTGCTTATTTCAGGGTTCAAATCAGGGTCTTATTTTCGGAGAAACATGGTTATTGTGAGGAAAAGGCCTTTTTTTTTCATGTGACCACAGGAGTGCTGAGATGTTAGTAACTTTGTGGACCATTCATAAGCCATATTTTCAGCACTGTTGTAATTCTGAAAGGTCACTGAATAGTTGTAGGTTGAGGACTATCTGTAAGATCAGGTAGCAGATCCCACACTTACTTGCACTGATGACATTATGTGAAAAAATGTCTGCAAACAAACCACCAAACTCATAGAACACCAAGTTCTCCATAATTGAACCCTGAGCTACATATATTCTCTTCTATTTGAAGCATAGTCTTTTTGGGCATTGTGCCCCTTAACAAGTTTCAGTTCAGCAAAAGTATGCTTGCGAATTCTGCTAAAATGGGAATATACAATCATTTATACATATATGTTTTATTTCTCTTGAAAAACCTTAAAGCAGTAATGAAATCTATTTTAGGATTCCAAGGCTGGAGGCTCCAAAGTCACGGAGGTGGCATTTTTGTATGTGCATCTGTGCAGGGCTCCCCTCACCTCCAGCCTTGGAATCCTGTGCAGGGAAGGTGGAGATTTGCTCCAAAGCTGCGGCAGAGGATCACACTGGGAGGCCTCCACAGGTAACATTGAGTTTGCGTGTCTTGCTCCAGCGAGAGGGGTGCAGGGAAGATGAGGTTTTGGGGTACAAAGGAGAAAGGCAATCTCCCCCTTCCTCTCACTGTAGGGCTGCCATGGAGCTTGCACAGGGCACTGTGACCACCGATAAAGGGGCCCTGGCAGGCCGGCGGCAGGGGAGGTACCCTGGAGGTCATAGATCTGAGTTGCCTCACGCCAGGCAGGAGCAGCCCGGCAGCAGCCCAAGCAGGGTGAAGAGCCCCTGCAAGGTCAGGGCGGGGGTGGGAGGGAGCCGATTCTGACGTGCCACATGGCCTTTTTCCTCATTGTAACAGCAGCCTGAGCACGACCAGAGCTCCAACCCTGGCAGAGGGCAAACTGTGGTCGCTGCCTGCTCCAGAGCCACAAGGTGAGCTGTGGAATAGAGGGGTCCTTGGCTGTGAAGTTGCCTCGCACCACAGGCAGGGCTGGGGCTGGCAAGTGTATGCCGGAAACACCTCCAGGCGCCCAGAGACACAGAACGAGAGGCAGCTCATGGCCTTCACTGGCTCAGCTGATCAGCAGGGCTGCATTTAAGGGGCTGAGCCTCCATGAGGTGACTGGGAAAGGGAAGGGCTGTCTCCTGTGCTAGCCACGCCCACCCCCTTCACTAGGGCTTATTTTTGGGGTAGGGCTTATATTAGGCCCATCCCAAAAATCAGGCTAGGGCTTTTCAGGGTGGGTCTTATTTTCAGGGAAACATGGTACTTGTCTAGACATACAGCAGGACAACATAAATTTAGAAGATGTGTAGGCAGAAATTGATTTTATGGACTACAGGCAGATGCACAAATGCAGTAATGTATAGTATGATAACTTGTTAACAGAGATACCACTTACCTACGTGAAAAAAATAAAATCTAAAGGATAAAAGAATTTAACAAACATATTATTATTATATATATATTGCTATTGCTTAACGCATTGTAAGCCGCCCTGAGTCTCCGGAGAAGGGTGGCATATAAATCAAATATATATATATATATATATGTATATATCCACAAAAAAAGAAAAGCAATTATTTAAAAAAGTTTTTGCTTGGATAAAGAATTCTTCCATTTCCTTGGGCTTTGATTACCCATAGAAAGTTGGAATTTAGCTTGAAAAGAGTGATTTTGTGATTCCCCTCTTCTAACTACAGTATATGAAATGTGAAGTACTTGATGCTCTCTGAGCTTGTTTTGCTTGCAGACATTTCAAAAAATGATTCAGACAAACGTTCAACTTCAGAAATATGGCGAAAGGAGGAGGAATAGATAAGGCTTAATTAACAAAGCTTTGTTTCCATGGATCCAGATTTAGCTTCCATGTGCTGCATATCCCTCCAGAGTCAATTGGCAAGTGACTGAAAAACAGCTGACATTGAATAAGGAGATTTCAATCTGGCACTGCTTGAACAATGAAGTACTAAGCTTCCCAAATGAATTACTAATACAGGATTTGTTTGCTTAGGGGCAAGATCTGTTTAAACAATAGAATCGTGAGCACTAAAACTCCCCAGAAAGAAAGCATCAGACTAGAACAATGATGTTCCTAGACTTGATGACTGCAGTTGAGGAACAGAAATGCTGGCAGTTGATGTTCAATGGGCTTTTCCTAGGGGCCTGGACTCCTAATCAGGCCAAATGTCCCTTCTGATAAGTAGCATTTGGCACTATCCGGAATCTCTTTTTGACAGAGAATCATGCATGAAGGAATACACCATACAATTCTACTATTGAATTGCAATTTACCTATTCTATCCTTAACTGCAGTGGTTCTTAACCTGTGGACCACGAACCTCGGGGGGGGCGGGGAGTGCTCGGAGGCTTGAATAAATATGATTTAAATCTTGAATTAATTCTTGGGGGTCTATGGCCACAAAAGGTATTTAAAGGGGATCCCTGGTGAAGAAAAGGTTGAGAACCACTGCTTTACTACAATGGGAAAAGAGAGAAATCTGGAAATAGGCACCTCCTGACAACGCTTTCTTCCAACCTAAAGAGAAATAATTCCTCTGCCAGAAACATGGGGAAGCCATCTCTTTCCTCTCTTCCCACCTGAAAAGGACATCCTCTACACACTAAAGAACATTTAATGTGCCATTAAATGATAATGAAAGAAATGGTTGGTTGGTTGGTTTTTTTGCAACAACTAGTCCTCTAGAAGGAACAATTGGTTGAGGGCCCGCAGCATTTCTCTCTCTCCGCCACCCCACTTAAAGGAGACTAACGGTTGCATCCCTGCAAACAGCGGCATCGTTTTCCTCCCACCCCAAATCAGTTCCCGCTGATGCCCCTCCAGGTCGTCCAAGAAAAGAAAAGCACCGCTTGGAAATCAGGAAACCTCTGACCGACGTGCCTAACATATGAAGGCGCCTTCTAACCGTCTGAAAAGGTTCCTCTCAAGCGGCGTGTGTAAGGAGAAGAAAGGCCGGCGGCGGCAACAACAACAACAACAAAAAACACCAGTTTCTCTACCTCCTTCTCCTCATGGCAAAACCCCTCAGCCTGCAAAGCGGTTCCTGTCCCTTCCCTTTTACTCACTTAGCTCTTCCGCGGCCTCCTTATCTTCTTCATCCTCCCTGCTTTCCCGAAGTCTCTCGTCGTTGGGGGGCGACGGCGGTAACTGTAACAACGGCAGCGGGGCCTCCTCGGCCGCCATTTTTTCCCCCCACAGAGCGAAGTTGAAGAGGCAAGGATTGCTTTGCCCTCCTCCTCCTCCTCAGTCTGCTCTCCAAAAACCTCTCACGCTGTTCAAAAGGGCTCCCTCGCTGGCCAAACCGCTGCTGTACTTCGGGACGGCAAAGGCGAGGCTACGCCTCCGTGACATTTTGAACCCACCCACCCCTACTCCCCACAGCACCCAAAATCCAACGCGGCTCGTGAACTACAATTCCCAAAATGCCGCCCCACTGAAGGCAATAAGGCCGCCTTTTCTGCCGGTGTACAGCCTCCGTTTGGCAGTTGGTGAACTACAGTACCCAGCGTGCAACTCGACAGGGGTGGTGTTTTTATGCTCTAATAGGAGACCGCAAATTGACCGGTTACAGTAGAGGAATAGAACGTAAAAGAGGAGCCGATTGGCTGCTGGAGAGGCCTCTTTTCTTTTCTTTTTTTTTTTCTCTTCTTATTGCAAGAGGGCGGAGAATCTGTGGGTGCCTGAGACGTCAGAGGAAAACAAGCCTCGACGAATGTCCAATACTTTTTGGCCCTGAGGTGTCTTTTAAGTTACCGAGAAAGAGTCGTACAAACGTGAGGGGGCGAGAAAGGAAACCTTTTAAGGAATTCAAAACGATCCCTCTGAAAGGTCGTGGATCTACTGGGAATCTTGATTCGGGTGTGCGTGTGTAAGTCGCCTCCACTTCCTCAAAAGCTACAAGGTAAGGTTAGTTTCAGTTAGGTTTGACGTGGTGTTGTTTGAATCCAGCTTTACGGTTTCTTTAACGAACTCCGGGTCAAAGCGAGACTGGCTGAACAATGGAATGGTGCTCATTTACTTATACAGCCTGCGTGTGGTTAAGTTGACAAGCAGACGAGAGGAGAAAAGTATTTTAAAATGGATACAGTGGAACCTAGAAACTGAAAACCAGCCCTCCCTGGGTACCACCCTGTGCTGTGGTAATCGGTTTGATACTAGTTGCGGTGATCTTTTATTGACACCACTTTCCAGTACTTCTTTATTCATTTTAACAAAGACAGGATGTTCGCTCTTTTATTTTTAATTTATTTTTATTTTAATAGCTATTTTTTAAAGAGCAAACGTCCACAGTCATGGTAAGAAAGCATTAATGTCCACTATTTCCCCTCCTAGTATAACTTTAACATCACACATAGAAACATAAACAGTAGAAACGTTACAGGTCACGATTAAAGCAGTTTTTTTTTTTAAAAAAAAGATTTTCATGTTGGTTTCTTTTTAAATTGCAACGTGGTAATGTTTTCATTATTAGCCTTTTAATAAAGGTGGTATTAGCATTTCAGCATGGCACCACCCATGCCTCCTTTTGAAATTCAGTAAACCAGGGTTTAACACATGAGCATACAAAAGATTATATCTTTATTTTCTCTCCTTCACTATTTCCTTTCCTTATAATCTGTCATTGATTCATTTGTATTACATTAAATTTCAAATTAAACCTAAGATAAAAGTCAGAGATATTCCACTACAGCATTCACTGCTTAAATTAGGAATATCCAATCTATCTGGAGCTTTTGTACTTTACATAACTCCTTGGAAAAATATCTAAACATACTTGGTCCCAAAGGTGCTTTTTCAAGAGACCACTGGACTTCTTGGATGAAAAGCAAAACATCTTCAAAGAAAAACCAGAAAGTCCAGTTGCCTCTTGAAAAAGCACTCTTTGGGACCACCATGACCTGAATGACTGAGAATCTCCATAGACATTTAAACATATTTGTAATTAAGACTATAATACTTTTTTTCAGATTTTCAGACCTAAGCATGTCAAAAAAACACAAAAAGAAATCCAGTCAAAAGGATGACACCTTGGATAAAAAGGTAAGAAAATATAGCTATTACTTTATATTAGCTGAGGAACTGTCTCAACCCCAGTGCGACTGGCGTGCTGTGGATCCTGTCAACCAAGGAATTTGGTTCCAGGAGAAGAGCCTTTTCTGCAATGGAAGCTGCCATCAGAAACTTCATTCCCCTCAAAGTGAGATCTCACTCTCTTGACCCTTTATAAAGGTCTTAAACCTGGTTCTGTCAGTTGGCCTGGGGTCCAGAGAGGGGTGTGTTAGCCTGGAGGTGATTACTGGATTAATAGAAGATCTGACCTTCACTTTATTGTATATATCCTGCTGCCTTACTATTTCTTGTTAATGTATTTATTGTTTGCTGTTTCAATCTTTGATACTATGATTTTATTGGATTGTAAGCCATCCAGATTTGTGTAACAGCGAGATGGGCAGCAAATAAATTTAATAAATAATAACAACAAGGATTAGAATTTTCATTGCAAAAAAAGAATGAAAATGCTAGGATGGTACCATGAATGGTACATGATAAATGATTAATGATATGATATATGATAAATGATTAATGATAATATTCAGTCTTAATACCATGTTTGCAGTATTAAAAATACGGATAATCTGCTTTTGTTCTATGTATCTTGGATGTAACTGAAGTCGATAAGCATTTTATTACATAACAGAATTAAACATAACCCACCTGAAGTGTTATGCTTTGTGCTTTTTCCCCACATCAGTTAATGCTTTAAAGCTGAACAGAGAAGCTTTATGTAAGAGTAGCCAGTTTATATACATAAAACAGTTTATATACATAAAACACTGCAGGCCAGAAAGCTGCAGAAGACATGATGTAGTACAGTGTTTAGGTAACAGTTGTAGAGGAATAAAGGACTTTTCCTAGAACATTTTTATTTTTAAATATTTATTTTAGTTCCAAACCAGGCTTTTCAGATGCAGAACAGAATTTAGATTGCATCTTATTTTTTGAGTATGCTTGAATAAAAATACAAGAAAAGTACCATTAGGTTCTCAGATTCTGCCAAGGAGAGGGAATTTATAAAGCCAAATAGGTAAAAAAAAATAAAATTGAAGCATAAGCATCTAATTTTTCTATTTCCCATAGTGGATTCATGATGTAAATAGGTATATAGGATAGAGCAAATGTGGAAAGTCAGGAGAATTGAAAATTATTTTTGAGTGCTGGTGAGCTTTTGTTCATAACAAATGCAAAATTTGCAAAGCAGCAGTTTGTAGTGGCAATGGAGAAGCCATTGAAATTTCAAGGAGTTTACTGACTCATTTTGATTTCTCCTTCATATTAAGAAAAGTCTAGAATTTTGTAGTTTGTTCTGAGCAAGCATGCTTTGTTTTGTTACTCTTGTTGCTGAATAAAGGAGAAAGTGGGGGAGTTTCACATACAGTAGCTTCAAAGATTTTCTCACTATGAAAGATTCTTGCTTTCCATCCCAGAGTCACATGCCATCCAGTCAAGGTCAGGTTTTGCAGTCCCCTGACCAAGTTTTGATAAAAAACCTTGGGATTTTTTTTGTTTATTGGGAGCTTCTGCACAGAACTTTGCATTGGGTACTGTGGAAATTTGCCACCCCTTAGTTATCTCTGCAGTCATTATTAAGAAGCTCCTGTCAGCTTGTAATAGATCAGAGAGTGATCTTACTTGGTACGTATGATTTTTATGTTATACTTTTAAATCTGTTTGCTTGAGTTAATAATAAAGCTTAAAATCCCTTTATTCACTGGTATGCTTACTGTCTCTGGATCTCCAAAAAAAACAAAAACAAAATCCAAATACCTGGAATCTGATCACTGCCCTGACACTTGACAAAACAAAGAAGACAGAAGTTCTAACTGTTTGAAGCAGTATGTTTATGCATACTATATGAGGACCATGAAACATTTGATCTAATACTCTAGATAGACAAAGAGTATCAAACTTAAGTTTTTAATGTTAAATTGTAACAGTGAATCATACTAGTTAAGCTTTTGCAGAAACTCAAGGACAGCAAGATTTGAAGACTTGCTCAGTGTTTAGGCTACAAAATAATACTTATTTCTACCATACATTTTACGTCTGCAGAAATTTACATCACAAATGCAGATTGTGCAAAGAAAAAGTTACCAAAACGTATCTAGAATAATATAAATAACAATGATCAAGAAGTAGTTATTGCTGAATCTTAATGGAAATTTTATGAAGTGGTTTGTGCAGGCCCATGGAGATTAATGGAGATTATTGTTAATATGGTACAGTAAGAACAAAGTGAAAGAGAAGATTATAGAAGCAATAATAACCTAATTTAGAGATTGTATCCTGTATCTGACTTTGAGGAAAGAATGATGCATACAATATAGTGAAATTCCATGCAATTTTGCTCTTTTTATTGTGAAAGATTATTTATTTAATATAAGAAAACACACACCTTATAAATAAATATTTCTTTCAGAAACCAGAATCAGCAGAAATTGGGAACAGACATGCAAAAGAACAGCTGGACCAAAGGTAATATTTTTCTTTGATAGGAAAAATGAAACTTGATATTTTGGAGGTTGAAAAATCTAAATGGGCTATAGTACAAAGAACATCACTGTTTGATATCTGTTGATTAATTTGGAATCTTTGATTGGATCATATTAATTGCCTGACTTTTAATCAATTAAACTTTGGAGAAAATGATAATCCACAATGCACCAATTTTATAGTTTTTTTAACTCTTTCTTTTATTACTTTGCCTAACTGAACTTTACTTGTACTATTGTTCCATTATTGGGGAAAATTGCCTACTGTTTTTAGTTTTATTTGTAACTCATTATATTTGCGATGTGTTGTTACGTTGCCATAAGCAAAGAAAATAACCTATGGAATGCTCTTTCTAGATGCCATGGCTAATAGAAATGACATCCATTGCATATGTTCAGCTATATGATAATACTTATGTCATTTGTAACTTACAAATGAGAATTCTTATTCCTAATGTAGCAACATTATATTCTTTGGATGTTTTCAATTTTAGTTCTTACAAGATCAAACTCTCATATGGGATAATAGTTTAAAACAACTGGAGGATGCTTCTAAATTAAAATTAATTTTTAGAATTAGATTAAGTATTTCATTTTGAGGGGACTAATAATTTTATAACATGCTACCTGTCACATTTTCTGTTTGTATCAATAATCTATTGATAAGTTCAGATTTTCTCTTAACATTTCTTGTTAAATAAAAGATTGGATTATACTTTTAAAAATCCACAATTTACCTTCTACAGTCTTAACTTTCTTTAAAGTGATTTTTAATGATGTTTTCACAGAGAGAGTGGTGCTGGATATGTGAA